GTCTGCAGTCAAAGCTCTCTATTTGCCGTTCCCACCCTCATCTATGGCTTTTTGCATTGTGTATTTTATTTTCTGTGGCAGTGTTTCTCCAGTGATCAGGGGCGAGATACAGTATATGTGCCATGGAGGAGCTTAGGGATTTCACTCTATAATAATGAAATATAATATAATCAAAAGTTTTGTAATACAGAAATGTCGGGAGCTTGTTTGTGTTGGAAAAGGCGTGCTTGATTTGTACTTTTGCGTGTCTTTGTGCAGATTGTGTGAATTCATGAAGCCGCAGGAGGCTGGAGGGAGGGGAGCGGATCCAACGCTTTCTAAAAATAATCTGTGTGGAATAATAAGGATGCTGATACCAGGAGCTTCTGGAACAAACATCAGTCCAAATACTGATTTCAAACTTAGTGAAGACCCCCACACTGTAACGTCATGGACAAAGAAATTATTTTGTCCAATGATAATGATGAGAATATTTACTTTTGACGTTTCATGATTTTGAGTCTTGTTTTGATAATTCTTAAAGGTTTATAGGAGGATTTTCTACTTCTGGGTGGATCATCAAGACTTGATCCTCCCAATTGTCAATCAGTCTGGTGATACATGCTCGTCAAAGAAGACCAGTTTTATTCAAAAAGTGGAAATGGCGGTACTTTCCTAAAATTTGGCAAAAAATCTCCTATATACCTTTGAGCAGAAAACATATGAATTGTCATGTAAAAGGTTGAAACATGATCTTAGCATGCAATTTCTTTTTGTACCACCAGAGGGAGACATTTAAATTATTTTATGTATTTTTCACAATTAAAATTTTTTCTATTTTTTAATGTAGTTTATTTGATACCACGTGTGTTTCATGAACACATTTGAAAGATGCACCTCTTTTGAATTAAGAAGCAAAAAGGTGAATTCCCGGAGAAGCTCTTGAGACAGGACGATGTAAACAGAAGGGGTGGGGGGACGTGTCTGTGCCAGTAGTATTTGATATTAACAACTAAAAACAGCTCTGTCGGTTTTTGATCAAGAATAAAAAAGACAATTTTGCATATTATGTAAAACAATTGGCACTAAATATATATATATATATATATATATATATATATATATATGTTTTTTTTTTTTACCTCTTCTACCAAAGTTCATTCATGTCATCTCCTTCCTAGCCTGGTCTTACCACACTACTGTACTAATTTTATTTCCGGGAAATAATAATAATAAGAGTTTACAGATGGCTATCTCTTCCCATGTTTATTCATACATGTTCTTAAAGCTGGCCTGGTGTGATACTGTCCATGAAATAATAAAATAGTAAAATCTATGTCACTGGTTCCTGGCTGGAAAGCATTTTAGTTCTATCACTAGTTTTCACATGCATGTTTTTGAAGTCTGAAAAACAGAGGACCACCCTCACTCAGCCAATCAGCTCTCAAAAAGTCAAATAGTGACTCACGAGGCTCTGTCTCTCAAGTCTGCACAAAATGTGTTTTCTGGTAAGATGAAGACACTAAAATTGTGGTCAGCATTTTACTTTGACAAGACTTTGTTGGACAAACTACAGGTTCTGTACTCAGAAGAAGAAACGATTTCACTTTGTAAAACATGAAATGCAAATATTCTCAACATAGCTTTTGTGCATATGTCTGATTTTTATCCAGAAGTCTAAGATACATGAGTTGACTAAATAGATCTGCTTTTCCTGATGTGCTATTAACATTTGACCACCAGGCGGCAGCAGACTGAGCTTCCCATGGATCTATTAAAACTCTATCGTGGATGTATTCAGATTTTTTTTTTTTTTTCTACATTTTAGCTGCATAAAAAAACGGACGTTCGCTATTTAAGGCATATGAAAGTCTGGACTCAATTTCACAACAGGAAAGTAGCTGCAATTTAGAACCAAGGTAAAATACTATAGATGCACGGACATGAAAATAGAAATTATGGTTTTACACAAATAAATAATTTAAAATGTACAGGAAGTAGACTGATGACATCAGAGCAAGGCCCAATTTACAACCAACACATTTTGTTTAGTTTATGTTGTATTGAAGGCGTTTTGGTCCAGTTTTCACATGGCTGCTTAGTAACCTACCTCGTGTGATTATAATTTGACATTCTGGATGTGATTGACACTGGGTTCAAGCTCATCAAATATTGATGTGAACTGTGTGAATAGTCTAGAACCTCCACACAGTCTAAACATGTTAACTACAAATCATATTTTTTAATCATAAGGTTCTGAAATTTAACATTATTGAGTGTATTTTTCTCCTCACTGGTTTTAGCAGAAGAGAGCACATCACCCCAGTTTTAGCATCCCTCCACTGGCTCCCTGTGCATTTTAGAATTGATTTTTAGATTTTACTGATCACTTTTAAAGCTCGTTTAGGTCTGGCACCCAGCTATATTTGGTGCCGACCTAAACATAAATGCCTTTATGTTGCTTCCCAGTAAAATGATCTTGCAATGGAAGACCTGTTTATGTTTCCAACTATACAGGAGGCCTTTAGGACCTAGGACGGTGTATTAAAATTAATCTCCCCAAACAGTGAACATAGATCTGATAAATGAGAGCATCTCACAAAATCAATAGACTTTTGCAGCTGGTGGAAAATGAGCTGACAGAAGAATCGATTCAGCTTTCCCCTTCTGCGACCCAGTGTTTTCTGGGTGTTGTTCCATTGTCTGCCCTCCTATGGTGCCTGGTCCCATGCCAGTCTGAGCAGAGATCAAAGAGTTCTCCAGGCTGGACTTTCGTGACCAAAAAAAAAAAATAAGGTTGCCACAAGTTGTCTATAGAGCTGTAATACAAATGTTTGGCGTTGTAATTTTAATGTAAATTCAGAACTTGCAGTGAACTGATCAGCTATAGGTTTTATTGAAATTATTAATTATATTTAAAGCTGGTGTCGTTCCACATTATAAAGTATGAGTCAAAGTGTGGTTCTGAGTGTATCCATGGGGCTTCACCTCCAATCCATCAGGAAAAAACCTGCAGTCTAGTCCCTCTGCTGAAGGTTCGACCAAGAGCTCGCTCCTGATTGGTTTCTCTAGCGGCGTTTGAGAATGGGTCAGGATCAGTGCTGTGTCAGAACCGATAACATAATCACTCTTGCGTGTCCATCATTGATTACTTAATTGAGAGAAGAAAAAAAAAACCTCAATATGTAATAACTTCAGAACATAACACCATTGTTTGAGAGCTGATGGATGGATTTCATGACACTTTTTTAATGATCATGTCTTGTGGTTGGAAAGTTATGTACCCCAGCTTTAAAAGGCCAAATCAGGATATCAGCTTAGACGACATAGAATCGAACACATTTCACTGGCTCGGCAACAGTGAAACGTCTTTTGAATGGGACTAAGATCCTAAGTATGTTTAAAGGTCCCATATTACGCCTTTTTACTTTCTACTTGTAAACATCAGGGCAGTGCTATTTGGCCTCATACACACGCCCAGTTGTTTTTTTCATTGATTCCGAGAGCGATCTTTCCCTTTCATTCTCGCAGGGCAGAAAAAACACCCAGGTCCACGTCTATGATGCGCACAACATCGATGACAGGGAGGTCGCAAAAGCCTCTGTGTTTAAAATGGTTTTAAAATATTGTTAAAAAAACGGAAAACAATACATAATATGAAAAAAATATTGACAAATCAAAACAGCGTATCAGCCTCTCCAGAGTCTGTGGTACGGTCCCACATCCACCACATGAGCCATACAATTTTTCTGCTTTTGTCAGCGACTAAAAGTGTTAGGATCATGACAACATGAAGAATAATGTGTTTTTGGGTGTAAATATATAACAACATTGTTTGGCTCGAAGACGAAGAAGGCGAATCCACAACGAATCTGTTCATCTGCGACACTTCACCAAGACCGTTCTAGAACTACTGGTATCATGAAACTGGACTTACTCAAAAGCTAATCTGGAAGGCAGTGTTATTACCACAATAAAAAATGCTAACGCAAAGCCCCAATCTGTCGCTGCCAACTGTTAACTCAACAATTAGGGTCTAATTCTGGATCGAGGACATGGGGCTCTGTGACAGATCGCCATTGTTGGAAAAAGTTTGGTCTGAAGTGACTATGGACTGACAAAAGCTTAACAGATAGCTTTGGAGGTAAACAAGTTAGCGTGAGGCTATGTCCCCGCCATGGATCCATAATAATAACTGGAAAGGGTATTACTAGCTAAATTCACGTGGGCTACCCAGGAAAGTCCCATAGATCTCAATGTAAACTAAAACAGCTCGACCTCAGCTGACAGAGAACCTACAGCTTTCAGAAATATCGGATTTTGTGGGTATTTGTGTATCCCTTGTCATCCTGAACTTTTTTTCTTCTTAAATCCTTCGGTTTTCTTTAAATCCACACTTTACTGCCACAAACTCTGCTAGTTTCCTTCCCGCTCTGCTGCTGCTCTGATCAGCAGCTCTGATTGGTCAGAGTGCGGCCGAGCCCCTCTGTGCACGTGCATGAGAGCCACAAGTTTTGAGTGTTATATGGTGTATCTCTCACATTATTATCACATGTGCATAGGATGGACTGTGAAACATGAAGAAGAGCAAAATATGGGACTTTTAATGAAATGGAACAGTAAAAAACCTTGAGCTGGATCACACTGCAGCCCCAGACCAACTGTAGACAAATACCATTTATTCTGAGCACATGGAAATGGTACAACCTTTCGCTTTAGTACGGGTGAAACGGGACATTTTTAAAAACAAATAAAAAGGCAAACAATATTTATTAAAAGAATATTTCAATATATCTAAGTGCAGCTCTAATCTCTCCTGTTCAGACGTGTGCTTGGGTACTTCCTACGGTCGCATTGTCCGCGTCGCTGCGGGACGGTGGGATGCTTTGCGGGCAGTTTTGAGTTCCGCTGGTTGAGTCTGTATGGTCTGTCGGTGGTTTCTCGTCTTGAACTTTTAACGCGCGCAGGTGTGTGTGTGTGAGAGAGAGAGTGTGAGTGCGTGTGTGTGGTTCTGCGTTCGTCTAGTGTCCGTCATGCGTGATCATCTCCTCCGCTCGCCTGTGCAGCTCCATGGCCGTCACTGTGGAGATGTCTTTGGGGAGCTCCGATTTCCTCCTCATCAGCGGGCGCTCTTTCCGGTGGTCTTTAGAAGGCTGCGCACACAACAAACCAAGGATAAATGAGACTGAGAAATCACAAGAAGTGACAGTCCTTTAAAGATTTTGTTCTTTGTCTGTGATATGTCGCCCATTGATCAAATATAGCCATCAAACTCCTGGGAATGTGAAATATCAACTAAAGGATGAATCTAAATTAACTAGAGACAATTCAAACATTCCGGGGATGAAGCAGGACCAGTTTGAACTCTAAACTCAAACATAGAAAGTAGCAGAGCAGAGTTTTGGCCTGACTCCTTTTCATTGGAGTAAAGAAGTCAGGCCAAAACTACAGGGTCTGAGCTTCACTGAAGAACATGACAATGGGACTATTTACGTTGTCATAGTAGAATAAGTATAACAGGTATGCATTTTACCTGTGTGGCTTCTTCCTGTACAGTTTTCTTTAACAGATTGACATCGTCTAAGACGGGGTCTGTGTCCAGGTCCATGGGACTTCCTGATCCACAGTCGATATACGTCAGGAACTGCACAGAGTTAGAGGCAGCTCTTTATGACATCACATATACTTTAATAACACGTGTACTTAACAGAATGTCTGATGTATATGTACGTCTTTGGATGTATACAGACTAAAATAAAATGTCAAATCTTTTCCTGTGCTGGAGAATTCAATTGTATTCTGTGATCACTTTCCCAGGTTGTGTTCATGGTCACATTTAGATACCACTCAAAGTGCTTTCACAGAGCAGTGTACACAGACTCTGGGAGAATGTGGGTTAAGCGTCTTGCCCAAGGACACAATGATACGCTGGGGTGAAACCGATTGGTGAATGCTGCAATTGATCTGTCGCTCAATCAATAAGGTTGGGAGCAGGATTCAAACCAACGTCCAGCTCAGAGGACACTCGCTGTACCAACTGAGCTACTACCACAGTTTAAAAGAGCTCTTTTAGTTTGGTTGAAGTGTGGAAGAGAAGGGCAACTGGGGATTTTGCTCAATGGGAATGAGGCTGTAGTCTGAGGCTTGATCACATGGTAGACATAAGCCGAGGTATGTGCCGTACGGTGCCTGAAGTTCATGATATTATTGAACAACTCCAGGTGCGCAGCCGATACGGGGCAATGTTGTAAAAGACAGTTTGCCACAATATGAGTGCTTTAGGATGTAAAAAGTAAATGTACCTGTGGATTTGACTTTGCAAGGTTTTCTATCTTGAGCCAGGCTTCTTCACGCTCTTTCCATTTGGCTTTTTCTCTAGAAACACAACACAGAAGGGCATCATTTATAAGGAAAAAAATCATGTTGAATTGAACTCTTACAAGGTTATGGGAGACTCACTTGCTTTTCTCCGCTTTAAACTGTTGCGTGCAGTCGTCAAATAACTTCTGGTTCATCTCCATAAAGAGTTTCAGAGCGTTGTAGATGAGGCCGTGGATTGTTCTACACACAATTCATCACATTAGAGCAGTCAAAGCATACTCAAGAGAAAATTAAGTAGGGCTGGGCGATATGGCTGAAAACTATATCACAATATAAGTAATTCATATCGGTCGATAACGATATATATTGATTGTTTATTTATTTTTTTAAACGTAAATAAATACATTTGTCGTGTCGGCTAACACATGTTAGCAGCCTTGTTTACAGTCACGGGGGAATGAGGCTGGAGCCAAATGTTCACAAGCAGTCTCCACCATAGTTAGTCCTTTTAGGACTTTAGGTTTAATCCTCGTTTAGTCCTGGTTTAGCACCTGTTTTCGAGTGTCCTGTGTCCCCGTGGCGGCTCCGGAAAGTTAATCTCTTGTTTTTGCCGAATGCATCGAGTCTCTGCCTCTCCCGCGCCGCACATGCTGTTCCTCGCATGGACGTGTTTAACCATTGACACGGCACTGAGACACGATCTTTAGATCCAGGGCTATTATAATAGATCCATGATCCATGGACGCTACGCATGGTGCGGTTGTTTTTTTTCATTCCCAGAAAGTTTTGCGGTTTGTAGTCGGCTGTGATAGGTCGAGAAGTCTCTGCCTACATCCCCCAGAATGCCGCGCGCTTCTGACTCTGCTTTACTTCCTGTGTTTCGTTCCTGTTTTTTCGAACGGAGTGAAGTAAAACTATCGAAAGTTCTATCGACCCCGTTCTCTATTGATATCGAACATGTGTCTATCGCGATATATATCGTTATCGATTTATCGCCCAGCCCTAAAATTAAGTATTATCCGTGTCATTTTTGTTAAAACTTTGCTTTGTCATTCCAAAGTTTGGAATGCAAAACTATTTATTACATACAAAATTGACTGAAGACGACCAAAACTAAGAAAAACAGCTGTTTGTGATGTCATGGTCTGAGGATTCAGCCCAAGGCATTTCCATACTACAGACACGCGTTTTTTTACCGATTTCGAATTGGAACATTCACCCGGGACAACAGTGGGAATGGTTGGTGTGTTGTTGGGACCTGTGTCGGCTTTACACTACAGGGAAGACTGGAACTGTGTCAAAACTGATCAAAGTCAAAACCAAACTTCAGTCTTCGAAAGTCACAGCACAGTGCACCCAGACCCAGAGGGAATAATGTACTGTAGCAAGTTTATCATTCACCTTATCATAAAAAAAACCAAAAATCTTTCATGGACAATGTCTGTAAAAGGAGGAGCCACAGTGTAAACTCGGACGATAATAACGTCACTGTCAAGTATTGTCCCTGGTGTGACGTGCCGCTTTAAGCCTTCTTCACCTGACCCACATGTAAGCATCAGGCTATAAAAAACAGATTTAGTTTTTTTCTGCCTTACTTGCTTCAGCACTCCGTCTCGCCAGCCCTAATAAGGAATAAGCCTATATAGTGTAACCAGTTTAAACACAGGCTCTCACTCCACACAGAGAGATGGGGGCAGGGTAGCCATAAAAGGGGAACGGACGGAGCTAAAATATCCATTATACAGTTATTGTCTCATGGGAATACAACGATTTCAGTAATATAATTCATGGGACTATAAATTGCATGTAATATTTCAATCGTGGCCAGGATGTGAGGTCCCGAGTGTGTTGGGCTTACTTGTTCCAGTGGGACTTGGAGTTGCGGTAGAGAGCAGGGAACATGATGGGCAAGATCTTGGCTGCGTTGTCGCTGATCAGACTCATGATGTACTCGTTGTTCCAGTAGTAAAGTGCTCGCTCGGCCACCTGTGAGAGAAGCGTGGAGGTTAGCAGTGCTCATGTCATCAATATTAACGCTACAGTGTGAAACCGGTTTGATTCATCGCGACCACAGACTGAATATAGATGGACAATGCTAACATAACAGGGAAGCCCTCAAACTCTGGCTCTTATTGACTTTTTGACTCTCATCTGGTTTCACAATCAGATGCATTCTGGGGGAAAATAAAGCTTGCCATAGCAAACATCTGTAGGGGCAGCTTGCATCTGCCCCTACAACGGCATGTAGGTATCCCTCGTCATCACAAATGCAAATAATCGTTATTTGAACGCAAAACTAGTCAATATTTATCTTCAAATCGGCTTCTTCTGCAATTGTCAAAGACATTGTGGTAATGTCCTCTCCACTATGACTGCAAATAGTCCATTATTGAAATAGCTAATGTAGTAATGAAGTGAATTACTTAAAAAAATAATAAAGAATGTTATGCCTTGTGTGATATTTAAGTTTATGTGATGATTTATGCCTCATGTGGTATGGGCTCTGAAGCACTTTGTGTAACCCTGTGGAGGAAAAGCGCTCTACAAATAAAGGTTGATTTATTGATTGAATTATTATGTAGCTCTAATGCCCGCTTTCATTCTTTTCTTTTAAGTTGTGTCCGGTTAAACCCCTGTGGTTGTTTGCCGTTTTTTCTAAATAGTTTGAGTGGGAATGTGATGGACTGATTTGAATACTAATAGGTAGAACCTGCAGGGAACCCAGTAATTTCACGCTAAACAGCACCGGTTTTGACACTGAACGTAAGTCAGATAATTTTTCCCTCATTTTCAGTCAGTATCAGAAGTAGAATCGCAAACTTTTTCATCCTGGTTTAGTCATAGCTTATTCTTTGACCCAGACCTGACTGAATACAGGGACACTTGACGCTTGATCTGGCCCCGTACCTGGAAGTGTGGGCTGGACACACACTTGGCCAGCTGCCTGAAGAGCGGCTCCTGCACCTTCACAAACTCCGAGGGCTCGATGACGTCCAGGATCTCCTCCAGCTCGTTCAGAAACATCACCTCCTTGGGACTGTGAGTCTTTGGCCAGTACTTCAGCAGCGCCATCACCACCTGCGCCGCAACATACCAGAGATGAGGAGAGAACAGTGCGGCAGCAAACCCCAGAGGTGCTATGGGTCTGACGGTTGAGGCTTTACCGGTTCTGTGAGCGTGCTGTCCTTTTCCAAGAACTGCACCACACAATAGGCCAGCTGCAAACAACACATAGACATGGGAGGTCAGACAGAGGACATTACATCTTTAATAAGGCCCCTTAAAGGAGACTATAGGTTGTGGTCTCATGACATCAGGACATTCAAAAGAGCCTATAGTTTCATTGTGATGCAGGGAAGCTGAAAGAGCTCTCCTGGTAACTGTCAAAAGATTATTTATCTGTAGGAACTGGGCCAATAAACTGTCAAAGTTCCACATTGTTGTCAGGACATGAGTATTTGTGGATCACTAATCCAATAATAATCTGGGAAAGCATGTACAAAATGTCTTCTTTTTCCCCATTGTAGTGGCACCAGCGCAGAATCATGAAATACAATTCTACAACATGAACAACTCCTTTACTTTGGCCTTTGACGTTTTAGAATGTCAAACCATGTCCTGTAACAAGTAGATGATATAGAAAGGCAAAAGATGCTTCTCCGAACATCGAACATGACGTAATAGAGAAATGATTCATCAGATAGGAAACAGAAACCTGGTAAGAGACGGGAGCATTCAGACAGAAGGGGTGGGAGGACGAGTTTCTGCCACAAACTCCTGATATAGCTCCTGATATAAGCCCGGAAGATTCTAAAATCTCCAGGTCAAAGTTGTTATATGATGAAAAGCTCTAAAAGACTATTCAGTATAATAGGTCTTCTTTAAATGGCTTTTTCACAGCTTTTGTCCATATTATAGTCGTTTTTCTTTGCTGCTTATTCTCAAAATGCTGTTTCTTATGACTTTACAATTTCTTTTGGGAGTCTGTGTGACATGTGAAATTTATACACAGAGTTGTCAGGTTTCTTTGTTTTAGCCAAATGACAAGCCACAATGATAAAGAGCAGTCAGAAGCATCTCATTAATTTCAGCCCTAGGATTTGATCGTCAAACAGAGCGGTGCTTGAATGCTGTAAAAGTGACCGGTGGCGTCTTACCTGCGGGTGGTAGACGCTGAGGGACTTCACTTTATGGAGAGGGAGGAGGACTTTCAGCAGGAATATTTTGTGCTCCTCTTTTAACGGCAACGCAAAACCGTTTATAATGCTGCAACACAAGAGGGACGTTTTTTACCAACCTTCGCCCATACCAAGGGGCGTTACAAACCCGCACGGGTTTATGCAGCTCAAATCTGAAACAGTCTACCTGAAAATGTGAGGCTGGCTTCTACGCTGACAAGGCTCAAACCCAGGTTAAAAACAGTTATTTTTAGCTGTGCGTACAACTGAAGGACTGTATCAGCACTCATTTTAATTGAATGTGATTTGTGATTTTCAGACCTAGCATGATTTTAATGTATTTTCTTGTTTTATTATTCCCTTTGACTCCCCCCTGGACTGCCACCTTAACGTGGTGGGGGAGTTTGAGTACTCGGATGATCCTGGGAGCTATGCTGTCTGGGGCTTCATGCCCCTGGTAGGGCCTCCCATGGCAGACAGGTCTCAGGTGACGAGTCAGACAAAGAGCAGTCCAGAAGACACCATGGACAACACTAATATGAAAACAGTGACGTCGCCCGGCATGGCGCAGCCGGGGCCCCACCCTGGAGCCAGGCCTGGGGTCGGGGCCCGTATGCGAGCGCCTGGTGGCCGGGCCTTAGCCCACGGGGCCCGGCCGGGCTCAGCCCGAAGGGATGACGTGGGCAGTCCCTCCTGTGGGCCCACCACCTGCAGAGGGGTCCGTGGTGAAGCGGTGCTGAGAGGACTGGGCGGCAGTCGAAGGCGGAGACCTCGGCGACCCAGTCCGCACACACAACATCTGGCTCTTGGGACGTGGAACGTCACCTCACTGGGGGGGAAGGAGCCCGAGCTTGTGGGGGAGGTTGAGCGATACCGACTAGAGATAGTCGGCCTCACCTCCACACACAGCTTGGGCTCTGGAACCCAACTCCTTGAGAGGGGTTGGACGCTCCACTTTTCTGGAGTTTCCCGCGGGGAGAGGCGGCGAGCTGGGGTGGCCATTCTCATTGCCCCCCATCTCAGCCGCCACGTGTTGGAGTTCTCCCCGGTGAATGAGAGGGTCGCGTCCCTCCGCCTCCGGGTGGGGGACAAGTCTCTCATTGTTGTGACGGCCTACGGGCCTAACAGCAGTGTAGAGTACCCGGCCTTCTTGGAGTCCTTGGGAGGGGTACTGGACGGTGCACCGCCCGGGGACTCCGTTATTCTCCTGGGGGACTTCAACGCCCATGTGGGAAACGCTAGTGACACTTGGAGAGGGGTGATCGGGAAGAGCGGCCCCCCTGATCTGAACCCGAGCGGTGCTCAGTTGTTGGACTTCTGTGCCAGTCACGGTTTGTCCATCACGAACACCATGTTCGAGCACAAGGGTGTCCACCAGTGCACGTGGCACCAGGACACCCTAGGCCGGAGGTCGATGATCGACTTTGTTGTCGTATCATCTGACCTTCGACCGCGTGTCTCGGACACTCGGGTAAAGAGAGGGGCGGAGCTGTCAACCGATCATCACCTGGTCGTGAGTTGGATCCGCTGGCAGGGGAAGAAGCCGGTCAGACCTGGCAGACCCAAGCGTATAGTGAGGGTCTGCTGGGAACGTCTCGCTGAGCCCCCTGTCAGACGGACTTTCAACTCACACCTCCGGGAGAGTTTCTCCCAGGTCCCGGCGGAGGAGGGGGACATGGAGTCCGAGTGGACCATGTTCTCTGCCTCAATCGCCGATGCGGCGGCTCGTAGCTGTGGTCGCAAGGTCTCTGGTGCTGGTCCCGGCGGCAACCCCCGAACCCGGTGGTGGACACCGGCAGTAAGGGATGCTGTCAGGCTGAAGAAGGAGTCCTATCGAGCCATGATGGTTCGGGGGACTCCTGAGGCAGCTGTCCAGTACCGGCAGGCCAAGCGTGCCGCGGCCCGGGCTGTTGCAGAGGCAAAAACCCGGGACTGGGAGGAGTTCGGAGAGTCCATGGAGCATGACTATCGGTCGGCCTCGAAGAGATTCTGGCAAACCATCCGGCGCCTCAGGAGGGGGAAGCAGTTCTTTGCCAGCACCATGTACGGTGCGGGTGGAGAGCTGCTGACATCGACTGGGGATATTGTCGGGCGGTGGAAGGAATACTTTGAGGTTCTCCTCAATCCCCCCGTCACGTCCTCTGTTACAGAGGCAGAGGCTGAGGATGTTGGGGCGGGTACATCCATCTCCCTGGCTGAGGTCACCAAGGTGGTTGGTAGCCTCCATGGTGGCAAGGCTCCGGGTGTGGATGAGATCCGCCCTGATTATCTAAAGTCTCTGGATGTTGTAGGACTGTCTTGGCTGACACGTCTCTGCAACATCGCGTGGCGATCGGGGGCAGTGCCAATGGAGTGGCAGACCGGGGTGGTGGTCCCTCTCTACAAGAAGGGGGACCGGAGGGTATGTTCCAATTATCGTGGGATCACACTCCTCAGCCTCCCCGGTAAGGTCTACTCCAAGGTACTGGAGAGGAGGCTACGGCCGATGGTCGAATCTCGGATCCAGGAGGAGCAGTGTGGTTTTCGTCCCGGTCGCGGAACACTGGACCAGCTCTATACTCTCCATCGGATACTCGAGGGTTCATGGGAGTTCGCCCAACCTGTCCACATGTGCTTTGTGGATTTGGAGAAGGCGTTCGACTGTGTTCCCCGGGGTGTCCTTTGGGGGGTTCTCCGGGAGTACGGGGTCGGGGGTCCTCTGCTGAGGGCCATCCGATCCCTGTATGACCAGAGCCAGAGCTGTGTTCGCATTGCCGGCAGTAAGTCAGACCTGTTCCCGGTGAATGTTGGCCTCCGACAGGGCTGCCCTTTGTCACCGGTTCTGTTCACTGTATTTATGGACAGAATATCTAGGCGCAGCCAGGGGTCGGAGGGGGTCCGGTTCGGAGACCACAGGATTTCATCTCTGCTGTTTGCGGACGATGTTGTCCTGTTGGCTCCAACGAACCAGCACCTGCAGCATGCACTGGGACGGTTTGCAGCCGAGTGTGAAGCGGCTGGGATGAGAATCAGCACCTCCAAATCCGAGGCCATGGTGCTCGACCGGAAAAAGGTGCCTTGCCCTCTGCAGGTGGGTGGAGAGGTCCTTCCTCAAGTGGAGGAGTTCAAGTATCTCGGGGTCTTGTTCACGAGTGAGGGAAGAATGGAGCGTGAGATTGACAGGCGGATCGGTGCAGCGTGCGCAGTTATGCGGTCGCTGTATCGGACCGTTGTGGTGAAGAGGGAGCTGAGCCGAAAGGCAAAGCTCTCGATTTACCGGTCAATCTTCGTTCCCTCCCTCATCTATGGTCATGAGCTTTGGGTAATGACCGAAAGAACGAGATCGCGGATACAAGCGGTCGAAATGAGCTTCCTCCGCAGAGTGGCTGGGCGCTCCCTTAGAGATAGGGTGAGGAGCTCAGTCACACGGGAGGAGCTCGGAGTAGAACCGCTGCTTCTCCACGTCGAGAGGAACCAGTTGAGGTGGCTCGGGCATCTGTTCCGGATGCCTCCTGGACGCCTCCCTGGGGAGGTGTTCCGGGCACGTCCCACCGGGAGGAGGCCCCGCGGAAGACCCAGGACACGCTGGAGGGACTATATCTCTCAGCTGGCCTGGGAACGCCTTGGGGTCCCCCCGGACGAGCTGGAGGAAGTGTGTGTGGATAGGGAAGTCTGGGCGTCTCTGCTTAGACTGCTGCCCCCGCGACCCGGCAACGGATAAAGCGGAAGAAAATGGATGGATGGATTATTCCCTTTGAGTTAGCTTGTGTATGACCTGTGCTATACATTACATATACTATTGCCTTATGATTCGTATCTATTATAGCGATTTATCTTCTGATTGATCTAATATATATGAAGCAATTATCAAAAAGACTCGCTCACATGGGACAATATGTCTGTCATATTTATGCATAAATTACATTTACAAGTCTATATAGTGCATTTCTCTTTCCCACGGCTCTTAACTTACCTTCCTAAAATCTCCAGTAATTCTGCTATTCCATTATGATGCTCTGTTTCATAAATAAAGCTGAAAAACAAAAACAACGTAGGTGAGAACGACGTCTTTCGAATGAGCGTAAAACAGCAGGACAGGGGGACTCACCTATAAAAAATGTTATTTATTTGTTTTCTAATATAAGCCCTTAAGCCCAGAAACTTCCCGTAGATTCGATGCAGTGTGGTCTTTAGAAAGTCCCTCTCCCGCGGGTCTTCACTGTCAAATAATTCTAAAAGCTGCGAGAAAAATGGGAAGTATGTAAACGAGTGTTCATATTTACACTGGAATAATCATGCTACTGCTCGTACCTGCATTACAAACTTCTGGTCGATATACTTTTTGGCTACGTTTGGTTGGAAATCTGGAGACTCCAGGAACCGCAGAAAGAACTCATAAACGAGCTGTGGAGCAAAACGATTACAACATAATAAAAAGTAAATTAGCTTATAAATTAAATAATATAAAAAAGTTTCAACACACAAGAATATACCCTACATTCTCTTTGATTGAGGAGGACTCAGCAGTCTAGATAGATAGGTACTTTATTGATCCCCCGTAGGAAAAATTCAGGTGTCCAGCAGATCTCAAAACATTCCGTTCGGCAGTGTAGTGATAGGAGCCTGTTGCTTCGATTACTCCTCTGAGCGGCCATAGTGTCATGCAGAGGGTGTCTGGAGTTACCCAGGATGCTCTGCATTAGAGCCCTCATCCTTCTCTCCAGCACAGCTCCCACAGAGTCCACACTTCTCCCAATCACAGAGACACATTTCCTGATCAGCCTGTCGAGCCGGTTACGGTCTCTCAAAGTCAGATACGCGACCACAAAGAACCCGGCACTAGCTACAACACACTGGTAAAATCAAACTGAAGACATTCTTGATCGACACTGACAATCGATCAGTTGAGTGAAAAGAGGGCGTGGCATATGCACTGAGAAATACCAGCCAATTAGGTTCATAACAATTCATAACAAACAAAGCAAATTGAGTTTTATCAAAGTTAATACTTCTGCCATTTTTCTTGACATATTTTCACACTTGCAGTTTCGATATAGCATTTCTTTGAATTGAAATCAAAGAATGAGTTGACTAAAACAACATTCGGTCGACTAAAAAACCATTGAACGATTACTCGTCAAAACTAAAGATTGACAGCCCTACTGCGGAAGGAACCCCTTATCCACCAAGGTGCTGATTCCGTGCCCGTTACCATGGCGACAAAATGTTTTACTTGCAAAAATTTGCTTGTTTAGATTCAACTTACTGTTTTTGCTGTATTTCAGTTAAGACCAACTGAAATTGACCTTGATTACTGGATTAAAAGATTACATTTTGTTTGCTTGTTTGTTTACAATGTCACCACTGTCAAACTGGTGTTACTTCTGGCCCTGATCTGAACTGGGGCAGTCACGGCTTTAGGGAGCAGTAGGAGGTGGATTGGTGTCCAGCCTTGAGAACACTGTGGTCAGTACCTGTAAATGTGGCCATGCAGCCTCCAGCGTGGGCTCGTCCTCTTCTGGGTCAAACTCTGCTCCGGTGGGGTTCGAGGACGGCGGCAACGCTCTGAACATGTTCACCAGAAACTGCCGACACAAACACGAGTTTACAGAGAAGAAGGTGGCAACAAGAGAAGCACAGATAAAGCCTCTTTCTCATTCAATTCAACAACATACAGATCAATACATTTGAGTAGAGCCCCACCTCGCAATTATGCATATGGGTTTTCTGAGGTTTTTTTTAAGTCACTTATCAGAGGTTTGATGATTTAGAAGGCAGACCTTTTTAAATGTTATTTCATGATGTCTCAAACACTCACACCTCCACAATATAACTACACGCACACACACACACACACAAATGACACGAGAAGCCTCTTTGAGTGTCCAAAAAAAGCGCTATATGAAACCAATGCATTATTATTAAAATTATTAATAAAAACATGGTTGATCTAAAGAATAAAACTAAATGGAACGGAACACATGTATAGACATTTATCAACATTCATGGACAATGGTCAACTCCCTGCTGACCAACACCTATGAGTTCTATCTTTTGTGTTTCAACTGTTGAGTCTCTGATCTGTGTTGACGATTTCAACACTTTTGTTAAGTCCTCTGAGATGACTAATGTTGGGATTTAGTGCTATAGAAGATGAAATTGAATTTAATAGTAAATAAATGTGGCCGTTTGCCTGAGAAAATTATCGTTAAGATGAGGTAAAACATATTGCATATTGGCAGGATGGGAAGTAGATTAGATTTTTTTTTATTTTTTATACTTTATTAAGGACTCACATGCAAGCACAGGATCCATAGCTAAGAATAATTAAAGAAAAGTTTTAAAAATAACAGAACAGAGTTAAAACACACATAGTAATCACATATTCACATATTTAGACCAAGTCACACATACAGAGAAGCACGCCAGTGACTCCAGAGCAAAGAAGTGAACCTGACTGAGCTAATGTAAGGACAAACCAGTGACTGTACAATAGCATTAGGCACCCTCACCACTCTACACATGAACCGATAGTAGCAGTGACGTAGGGCAGCAGGAAAGGAGCGCACCCTGCACTCAGCAAACATCTGACTCGCACTACTGTGTCTGGGGATCTTCAACAGCATCCTCATCGAGTCATTATAGGCAACAGTTAACTTCTGCAAACTGGCCTGCTTATAGCTCCGCCATAGTTGGGCTGTGTATAAGGGAGCACAAAAAGATTGGAACAGGGAGGTTTTAACATTCACAGAGCACATGTTAAACTTTCTGACCAGCATGTTGGATTGGCCATACAGTTTACATCTCTGTCTGTGTATATCCCGGTCGTCTGTGAGGTCACTGCATATGTAATGGCCAAGGTACTTTACCTCCTCACTGACATTTAGAGCATTACCACATAGGGAGAATGCAGGAAATACAGATTTTATGTCATTTTTTGTCCTCACAATCATGATGAAGCTTTTACTAGAGTTATATTTTATATCATTTTGAAGACCGTACTCAGAGCATATCTTGAGGAGCTGCTGAAGTCCTGCACTGTACGGACTGAGCACAACCAGGTCATCGGCATACATGAGGTGGTTAATCACTCTGCCTCCCACAACACACCCAGTCTTACAGTGATTGAGCTGTACAGATAAATCGTCCATATAGATGTTAAACAACAGGGGGGACATCACACTACCCTGCCGGACTCCATTACTGACCTTGAATGAGTCTGACACTGACCCACCCCACTTCACCCGCATACTCTGCTGTGAGTACCCTAATAAGGTAGCCAGGAACACCTCTATTCGATAACTTCCTGAAAAGCCTCTGATGATTAATCCTATCGAATGCTTTGGATGCATCTAAGAAACAGGTGAAAATTGTGGAACCTTGACTGTGGTACTTGTCCAGAATTTCCTTAAGGGCAAAAATACACAGATCAGTACCATGCTCTTGTTTGAATCCAAACTGGTTTGCAGCTGTATAAAGGTATGGTTCAAGTCTGTACAGAATGATCCTCTCAAAAACCTTGGCCACACAACTGGCCAAGGCAATAGGCCGATAGTTGTCCTTACTGTTGAGTTTCCCAGCCTTGTCTTTGATTACTGGGACAAGTAAGACTGACATAAGTGACACAGGCAAAACCCCATGAACAAAAAAACTAGTAAAACATAGAGCAAGAAGTGGGTATAACTTTTTGCTTGCATATTTTAGGTGCTCAGATGAAACTGCATCTGGTCCACATGACTTGTTACTCTTCAATGTTAAAACAGCATTAAAAACCTCAAGTGGAGTTACGATCACACCATCATTATTATCAACAGCCCCTATAATAGCATTATTGTCTTTACCACAATTATACAATTCATAATAATATTTCATCCACAATTTACATATATTGTCCGAACCAGTTACTCCGTCAATATCACAGGGAAGAGAAGTCTTGCAACTGTTCATCATTCTAACTTCTTTCCAAAAGTCAAAGAAGTTGTTGTTTTTCAGTTTGGAAGCAAGAGATTCTGCTCTTAGGCGATTCTCATTCCGCTTTATATAGCGCAAGGCACATTTGAATTTGGCATTTGCACGTTTCTTTTGTTCAAACAGTGACCCACTCCTGTGCTTCCCAGCTTCTGTCCAAGCTTTAAATGCACACCGAGCGTCCGCATGAGCTCCTTCCACGTACATATTCCATCCAGGTTTACCACTGTGGGTGTGCTTTTTATGTTTACTGAGAGGTCTACCAGCTGCAATGAGGGCCTCAATGACACCATTGTATAGTGAACATATTTGAGAGCAGTGCTCCTGACTTCTGCAATTAATGTCACGGCACAAAATGGCATCTTTGGGTACCTCGATACTGCTCAAGCACCCATGTGTCCTATTGGTGAAGGCAAAGATGTTCTCATCCGATAGTTTTGACCAGTCCAGAGTGTCTGTGTTGGGACATACTTCATTAGGTGTTACTTTTGGGATGTTTCCCAGGTTACATATGGGAATAAATGGCATATGATCAGATATTGCCAGGTCATATAAAATCTGCATGCTGGTGATGGTGGTATGCCCATCCGTAGTACTTAGGCAATGATCAAGCCAAGATGTGGTGTGCCAGGCATCGCTAACATACGTGTAGCTTCCTTCTGGCAGGCAAACCTCACTAGATAGTATAAGGCCATTATCAGCACAAAATAGTTTTAAATGTTTAGCAAATATTGATTTGTCATCAGCGATATCCGCATTCATATCTCCCACAACAATTATACATGTTGAGTCAATGGCATTAATGAATGTTGAGATGCTGGCAAGACATTTGACATACTCATCCTCATTTTGTGCACACTCACTCAGTGTGATCGATATCTTAAAACAAAAAAAACAAATCTTTTGATATAATTATCTGTTATTTTGATCCTAGAAACAGCTCTGTGGGGCAGTGCAGGGACGTGGTGAGTCTGACATTAGAATGAGCTGAAGCTGAAGGGTCCAGTTCAGTATGTTCCATCACATTGTGCGGTGTGCGATTGTGGGCACTTTGATGATGAAAGTCGGCCGCTCTTCAAACCGCTCTCGACCTGAATGGGCCGCAGCGCAGGGGCCGCTACATTATGTTCATGCTGATTTGGTCTCACCGTTGCATTTTCTGATCTAAACAAAGCAACAGGATGTGGCTCCATTTGCACCTTGATCAGCTGCTTTTGTGCCAGAGGTTTCATTGCAAACTTCAAAAAGCCCCTATGTTTTTTTGTTTATTTTTTCAAAGTCAACATCTTAAATTGTTCTAAAAGATTATATTAAACACAAGCAAAAGAAATGTCTACAAAGCACCCAATTAAGATCCTTTTTATGGGGTTAAAAGTGACTCACAAAATAGATCTATCACTTTGAAAGAAAGTTGAGCATTTCCCCGGTGGCTGTTGTGACAAAATGAATTATTAGCAGTATCGAGAGTTACTTTAACAATTCCTTTCTGAAGTAAGTCAAACGTGCTAATGCGTTCAAATCAAAGAGGAAGAATGCACAAACACCGCAATATTAATCATTACCCGCTAACTCATTTTGTGAACTGCCCGGTTGTTTAAACTTTGATTCATTGCGACTCAGGTGGAACCCAAGTGAAACCTGTCCAGGCGAGTGAATGATCTTCAAAAAGAGCCATTGATTAAATTATTTGATTTATTGATTAGCGCTTCAAGGCACTTATTGCAAGACTGCGGATTACTGCTGTTGCTGTTGGTACAAAAACTGAAGTGAAAAAAGTCAATTCAAATATGTTGCATATAAAATATTAAGTTTGCCAAGTAGGATACTCAAGTACTACTTTTATTGTTAGATTGGTATAAACACATGTTGAAACCGTTTATTTTTATTGTGCTTCTGTTTGTGTTGTCATGTTGAAAGAGTCTGGAGCTCTCATGGCCCGTTCTGAATAATGCTAAATGAATTAAACTAAATGAAGCTACATGCAGAATTAAATACTACACATGTTTGGTTCTCCCAAAGAGATTGAGGTTTATGCCGGACTCACCACGTGCACCACCTCGGGGTAGATGGGCTCTGTGATCACGTTGCGGTTGTGGGTGATGTACTCCACCATCTCGCTGAGCGCTGCCCTCTTGACCTCCTTCCATTTCAGGTCACTGAGCGGGTCGGACACAAAGTCAAAGAGCACGCAGCACTGACGCAGCTTCTGGATGAACAGCTTCTCCTGCTCGGCCAGCGGGACGTCTGCGACACAGAGGGGCCACACTTAATCATTATAATAATACAAAAATACAGACCTCGGGGCGGGCCTTGTTTACCAAGTGTACATATGCACAAAAACTATTTCAACTTCAAACATTGCGGACCACCATGACAACTTCAGACTGAGCGTATGACGTCTCTGAGGAGAGTCTGAGGAACCAAGGGCTTCTGAAACTTGGACTTTATTTTTTATTATAAAAATATTCATACATGGACATAAACCCACACCTGTGTGACGCAAACAAGCTGGGAGGACGTGCACGGAGACACTGATGCCAAACACAGAACCGCCCTGTCGGACCGTAAGAACACACACCTGAAATGATCACCTTCCAGAGCTCATAACTTCAACATAGGCGCTGACCACTGCTGACCCATCCTCTCGTACTCACACTTGCACGGGCAGTTCTCAGCTGCACAAAGCGATATGAGAACAGATTATCCTCTGTAGGCCGTCACGAATATTACCCACTGCATTATGCGCTGATGCCCAATGTTTAGTACAGCCTTCATAAAAACACACCAGATTTAAAAATCATATTTATTTCAGCACAGTGCAGCTGGAAGTAATTGTGATGAAAATACAGTCTGCAGTGAGGTCAGAGGAAGACGTCCAGATTACATCTAATTGACTTAAAGCCGTTTTCAGCAAAGTGGATGAATAGATGGAAGATGCTTTATTAATCTCCGGCGGTGAAACGAATATAAGCAGCAAACTCAAAGAAAGAAAAGCTTGCGTGAAAGTATAAAGTATAAAGGTTTTAATGTTGGTATACACAACATACAACATCAGGGCAGGAGTTGTTTTCCATTGAAAAAGAGCCATGTGTATGATTATTTAAGCAGTTAAGAGCACTACAAGTCTGAAGGAGGCCCTTTAAGTCACAATTTGACTCTTTGGGCTGGGTGAGAGTGGTATTTCTTTCTGTCTGAAAAAGCTGATCAAGATCCAGAAACGCATTCATGTGGAAACTAGGTTCAATTCTGAACATTTTAATATTGCTACAACGTGAAAGTGACATATTTCAAGTCTTTGTTATAATTTTGTAGTACCAAAACAAAAATATCCACCTTTCCCTATCCATTAATAAACCATCGCCATAGTTACAAATCAGAGGAAGCTAATGGATCCGTGACGCACATTTACTTGTTGAGGGCCGTGTAATGTGTGCAGCTGTGTGGTCCCAGGGGTGTGGACTCTGGACTGAGGCTGATCACAGGACACATGCAAACAGCTGCGAACGGAACAGACACCAAACGCCTCCGGACGCATCAGCTGATCTCAACCACGACTGCGCTAATGAGGAGCCGTGTGCGGAGAATAGCATTCGGTAAGGAAAATCAACAAAGCAACTGTTCCAAGTAGGGCTGGGCGTAAAGACCAGGCAAGATAACAAAGTTTTGAAAGACAATATGCTGCTTCAGAAAAAACATGTGATATATGATTATAATGAAGCTGCTTTTATGCCCCTCAATACACATATTGTGATACTCAATAGAAATTTAGCCGCAATCCCAGTAACTCAATTATTAAATAATAATGCATGAATATTGTTCCCATTTTTACCAATCTCTATTTTGATAACTTTTTTTTAATATAAAACTTGAAACTATAATATTGCTATTAATTAACAGCATCATAATTAATCCAATCACAGAAAATGTGGTGAAGCTCCTGCTCAGACCATCACTGCTGCTGCCACATTATTGTAGCCTTTCCATTGTGATTCAGGAGTTGATAATCGCGATTAGGGCTGTAGTTAATGTTGGTTTGAAAATCTATAGATGAACGTTGTTTCAATTATTATAAGTTGTTTAGAAAGGATAGTAATTTGGTTCAAATGTTAAACATATGACAAAAACAAAGCTCGAGAGATGCCCCTGGAGAATATCTTAATAGAGATGACAGAATTTTCTGACACATGAAACCTCTTCTCAGCATAGTTCAAAAAACAAAAAATCAATTATTAAAATTAGTTGGCAACTATTTGAATAATCGAATAGTTGTGTTTAATCAGTTGACTTGTTACAACTCTAACAGCAATCTACAAAACTTGAGATTACAATTTTTCAAACGTTGTACATAATTTTTTTGGCACAGCTCCAGGTTTAATCATAAAGGTTGGCAATTGAGACAATAATGTAATACTATTACAAGTGTAGGGCGAACAATGCTCCTTCCCCTTGTCACTATTTCAATAACAATTGGGGATTATTAATTAGAAATCAAGGTGTTCAAATTCCGAATTAAATATTTTCTAAAGTAAATACAGATTCAATTGAATCAAGAGAGATCGGTAACTTCATCAGGTGGTAAAAGCGCTATGTTTATACAATAGGGATCTAAAATGACACATTGTCATTGAAAACACTGTTGCAATGCAAATCAAATAGAAAAATTCAGATGCTTTAGTCATTCAGTAAAAAATAGCACTTGTCAAGTTACCTACGGTTTGACCTAAAGTGAATGTCAACAGAGGCAGCGCGTGCCGCGTCTGCTGTTCCCCTGAGCTCATCTGAAGTCTCGCCGCTGCACTCCTCCAGTTACAAAACAACCCTAGAGTTACGGAGCAGGCCTAAAATACTAAGACAGACGGCTGGAGCGGCAAGAACGGGTGTATATCGCAAATACAACCTCTTGGATCCCTACAGACCTCAGAATAATTGCTTAACCCCTTATTTTACACAATCATTCTCTTGAAGTGGATCAGCGGCTTACAGAAGTTGAATGTAAATACAAACACACGCTAAATCAAGCAGAGGAGACTAACATCTGCTTTAGAGAGACTTAGTTTGCACAACCTCTTTTTCAGCACATGCAGAACACACTTGGAACTTGGTCTCAACAGAGCTGAGGACCTGGACATCCTTTCACAGCTTTAGTAGTTCTGTGGGGAAGTGGCTTTTGGACAAACACATGTGACCACAACATGGACTAACCACAAACCATTGTCTTGTTGTGTGGAAGATTGTGGTGTTTTCAATATCATCTTCTGTTCTGAGGATCTTTTAGCTGATCTCAGAGTTTTACATTTTCATATTGTAATTCAGTCTTTTATGTTCTTGTGAATGTGTTTTTGATTGCGTCCTTCCTTCCTTGACATCAACCAGCCAATTAACAGATGAACATTAGTCTACATGGTGAACTCTGGCGCATTAGTATTATTGGGGATTTTTGTTATTAATGTGCACTGTCCCAGTTGAAATAAGAACAACATTTAGGTTTGGGCTGAGACCTCTCCCATTTCAGCCTTGTTGCCTTGTTTTCAAACTTGGTACACTTTGACTAATTTCTTGTGAACAGAGCACACTTTGAAAGCAAAAGTATAGCTACAAAATGTGTTGTTCTCCAGTCAAATCACATATGCACATGACACCACAACTTGAGGATTTGTTGCGTTTAAAAACAGAGCATTTAGACAGAAGGGGCAGGGTCATTTGTTGTTCCTGAAATCAGAGCAAGTAAGCATCTATATTTATTCACATAGAATATTTTAGAATTAATTTAATTATCATCCTCTTTTTTTTTTAAAGCACACAAGTATTCTTTTAACCTTAAACAATGTCACTTCCTATGACATCAGAAACCCAACTTTCCGTCGAACTTAAGCTGCTTCCTGTTTAATACACAATGAACATCTTCCTCGGTGCAAAATCAACAAAACGGAGGGCTGAACAATTCACTTAACTCCGAGTCAGAACGCGAATACAACCTTTACAACAGTAAAAAGGGAAAAATAACAGACAATGATTGACTGTTTAAAGCCAGTCTGAAAAACATGCTAGAGGAATAGATTTCAAACAGACCAAGGATTTACTGTGATTGGACTGTCTTTTAAAACACTTTGTTCAGGAGCAAAATAAAAAAGGCACTGCTAAACTCATCCAAAAATGCCAGCACTTCAGATTATGTGAGCAGAGGTCAAAACTATGATACAAAAAATATGCCATATAATTTTTTATGAAACATTGGCCTCAAACATGATCTTTACCATTTTTACTTTGGCCTTTAATGTTTCAGAATGTGAAATCTTTTCTCAAGTAGAAAATATATGAACAAAGAAGGAAGAGTAGAACGAGAGGATGAGAAAGCGCAACACACAAAGCGCAAACATTTATTAGATCTAAATCCAAAATGGAATAGTACCAATTAGAGGTGGCCGATATGGACAAAAATAAATATCTCGATATTTATTTCCCAACTCCCAATAACGATATTGTCAAGATATCTTTAAAATCAATCATTTTTACACATCTATAGATAGAGACAGTGTAGAAGCTTTTTATAGAAGTGCTTCACACATCTTTGCAAAACATGCGCTAACATATTAACATTAAAAATCAAATTCAAGTAACACAGAAAGAACACATCCAAAAAGGCTAGCTCAATATTTACTGATATGTACAAAGGCACACATTAGACCATTGGACATCTTTCCTTCTCTAATTGTAATATGTATGTCTATGAAAAATAAAAAAGTTTGATAATACGAAAAAGCATATCTTCAAATTGACTTTCACGATATTATTGTCTACGATATATTTTGCCCACCTCTAGTACCAATTGAAGGCTTACTGTATGGATAAATTCACAAGACAAGGACTTTGGTTTAAAAAAGACAAAAAACTGCCAAGTCCATGATGTCACAATGAGAGGATGTGTCATAATGTAACAAGTTCGAAGACTGAGCATTTCAACAGAAGGCGATTTCAGCATGGATGGAGAAAAAACAAGTCCAGGTCTGTTAATGATGTGAGAACAGAAATGGAAAATGATCTTCTGAGTTGTGATTCATCTAGCAGCCCCAGCAAAAATCACGTACCCCGAATTGTTATCGAACTCAATTGCCCCATTTTTCTGATTTCACATAAACGCCAAAACGATTTCATTCTAGTTCCCTCAGCTGTGTAAAATATCAAAATCATGCCAATGTGTAATGCCAAACATGCATTTCTCAATTGTCAGCTGTAATTGACAGACACAGTTTAGCCTGCCATTGTTAGCCAGAGAATATTGCTTGATCATTTAGGAATAGATGGCCAACACAGAACGTGCGAGAATGGGATTTGCAAGCCGAATTTCACCAACGTTTCTTGATTGTCAGCTGTAATTGAATCCAAATATTGATTCGGAGCCAAAGTCCCACTGAACCGCATCCATGCACAAAATCAAACCAACACACACAATAGATGGCCACAGGATTACGATCAACACTATTCTTTCCATAGAAATGTAGCTCAAATGCGATGCACATTGATTCAATCTCTCTCTCTCACACACGCACAGATACACACACACAGACACACAGGCAGAGAAGAGACGCTGAGCCCTCACCTCTAAAATGCACAAGCTCAAGAGGCTGAAAGGGCCCACTGGAGCTGCTATTTTCCATCACCATGTTAGCGGGTCGGAAGTCTTGTGCGAGGGGGGGAAGAGCGGCTGGAGAAAGCAGTGCTAAGGGCACCGAAGCACCACCATTTTGGCCCCGAGACGCTGGGAGCAAAATGCCGCTTGGCTGTGTGCGCTGGTGCGGCTGGAGGGAGCAGAGCAGCCAGTGATGTCAGCCCCAGAGGAAGGCGGGGGATTGGCTGAGGAGGTGCACGTGGGCCGAGCTGTCAGAGGGTATAAACAGGAGGGGGGAGGGAGATGGGAGAGGCTGCTGTGGCGGTGACGAGAGAGCTGCTGAATGGAGAGATGCAGCTGATAATTACTGTGCTATTCAGTGAGGGGGGGTTATCTTTAAGAGTCAGTAGTTTGCTTAAAATCAGTGCGCACATGTAATGAATGAGATATCTTTTTAAAAAACAAAAACTGTACGCATTGTATTGTATTGGATTAATAATCAATTTTTGTTAGTTTTTATATAGTGAAACATGCGCCAAGGGATGACTCTGGTGTGCGTGTGAATGGCTGATGGTGGTGGTCGGAGATGCTGATGCCACATACTGCTTCTGTCAGTGTGCCCCAGGGCAGCTGTGGCAACAGTAGTACGGTAGTGTGACATGTGAGGCGTCTGAGTGTCGTGAAAAGTGCTATATAAAACCAATGCATTATCATTATGGTTAATCTATGCCATCTCCCTACAACTCCCTATAGGTGCCCACCAGAGAGGAGTTGATTTTTTTTCTCTAAAATTACTAGCTGCAAACACCATGGCATGCATTTTTGAAGAACATAATTTCACCTGCTAACTCACTTATTAAGGGGGAATACTTTTGTTTTAAAAAGGATGAAAACTGCTCTGAGCGTGATGTCATGACTACACAGACACTGTGACGTCATACATTCACTTCTGCGAGGATAGCATTATTCCAACAAGGACCAGGGTCATCTATAACAACGACAAACCCTGGTTCACTGCTAAACTCCGGCAGCTCAGGAAAGCAAAGGAGTCTGCTTTCAGGGCTACAAGTCCCGGCACAGAGAACGACCACAGGAGCAGTTTGGTAGCAATGATACTGCTTCTGTCTGGAGGGGCCTACGGCAGATCACCAACTACAAGCCCAAAGCCCCCCCCCCCCCCCCCCTGTGCTGACGACCACAAGCTAGCTGACGACCTGAACCTTTTTTTCAGTCGCTTTGATGCTGCCCCTGACACCTCCCCCACCCCCCACTACTCTAACGACCCACCCATCAGCTCTGCCCCCACCCTGACAATAGCCTCTAAAGATATCAAACACTGCACCCCCCGCAAAGCTCCTGGCCCGGACCACGTGTCTCCGGCCAATCTGAGACACTGCGCCAGTGAGCTTACTCCTGTGTTAACTGAAATTTTCAACTCCTCTCTGCAGTCCTGCCATGTCCTGGCCTGCTTCAAATCCTCTGTTACCCCGCCCCCACCCTCCGTGATGGACTCCCCCATCACCTTTGTGGAGTCCTTCCGTTTCCTGGGCACCACCATCACCCAGGACCTCAAGTGGGAGCCGACCATCAGCTCCCTCATCAAGAAGGCCCAACAGAGGATGTACTTCCTGCGGCAGCTCAGGAAAGCCAAGCTGCCTGCACAGATGTTGGTGCAGTTCTACACGGCCATCATCGAGTCCATCCTCACCTCCTCCATCACCGTGTGGTTCGCTGGAGCCACAGTCAGGGACAAGCAGAGACTACGGCGCATTGTGCGCTCTGCAGAGGAAGTGATTGGCCGCAGCCTTCCATCGCTGCAGGACCTGTATGTCGCCGAGCTCGAGGCCGGGCTGGTCGTATCACAGCCGACCCCTCTCACCCTGCACATGAACTATTCCAACCACTCCCCTCAGGCAGAAGACTGCGGTCCATCAGGACTAGAACATCCCGCCACAAAAACAGTTTCTTCCCCTCTGCTGTTGGACTCTTGAACACTTCTTAACCTGTCCCCCCGCCCTTTAAAAAGTCACTTTACTGCCCATCATACGTTACTTTACTTCACTGTACTGCTGTCACCTTACATCGTGTGCACCATGTGCACTTGTATACTGTAAATAGTAACTGTAACTCTATTTTAAATTTAAATGTATTCCTTAGAAGTTTTTTTTATTCTTTATTTTTTATCATCTCTTTCTGACTGTTGCACTGAGCCAAAGCTATTTCAAAGTCTGTGACTTCCTGTTACGTGGCAATAAAAATGATTCTGATTCGGTTACTATGACATCATTAGTGACTGGGCGCTGTACTACGACTACTGCTCCTGACAGAGGCCCTGGTGGATTTGGAAGCAAAACAATTATGGATAACTCTGTTCCATCAATCACAGATCCCTAGTTTTCAATCAGAAATATACCTGGCTGGGATAAAGTAAAAAAAATCTATTGAAATCTATCACAAAACAAAAATAACATTAATTGAAAGGACAAAATCAGGAATTGATTAAAACATCTTAAAGCTTTAGGAACATTTATTTCTGGAAGTTGACCGCTTATGTTGCTAATGTGATTATAGTAAGTTGTATGTTAGTAGACGCGCTGTAGTAAAGCTGGTCGGTTCAGCGTAGTTCATACAAAGCCAATGCTGATTCACCCACAGACAGAAGGGGATTAAAGCGATCGCTCTCAGACTAAAGTTATTAAGTGCTAGATAAGACGCCAAGTCATAGAACTAGGGATGCACCATGTTAAACATTCTATTTTGTAAAGATTTTGCCTTTTTGACCATATTCCTAAATTAATTTCTTTTTTCTTAAAGGCGCTATACCCGTTTCTGCAATGTTTGAATGTTTAGCACCGCCCCCCAACTCGCTCAATGGCTTCTCATTTCCCCTACGCTCTCATAACACAGAGCCACCTAGTTTTATTTGCGATCTGATACATATGCTGACATTAGCATTAGCGCAACTTCTTGTAAGCTGTGCAACAATCACTGATGAAATGGCACTAAAGCAACGCACTGCTAACACAATATATAAGTAAAAGAATACCGCTAGTTTCGCGTCCGAATGTATTAATTTAAAACCTTAGAATATATTCTAATATTTAATTATAATTTGTTATAGAGCTCCTCAAAGCAGCAGCAGCAATTCTTCTGATCATTTTTTCTTGATAACAGAACTCTCAAACCAATAATGACCGAAGCCCCAATGCAACCTCTGTTTGTAATTCAGGTGTGTAAAATACTGCCATTACTCTGCAAGTACAACAAGCTATCAGCACCTGTCACTATCACTCGTCTGTGTAGAGAAGCTAGCGGAGTTAGCCACGCTCAATAAACAACTACATATCAATCAATCAACACCATTAAACGTCAATCGGACAATACAGTACACATATACATCCTTAACACACATGCACGGATGATTTCAGAATTTGCTGTTAACGTTTTCATGACAAAAATACTGTTTCAATGTGACAAAAAGCGATTGCGAAAAACCCGGAAGTTACCATGAAACAACTAGCTAGCTTAGCTGTTACCTGCCTAGCACGTCCCGGTGAAACCTTTGGGAGCTAGGTTAACTATTTTATTTGCAGTCATTAAATACATTTCGAATTACAAGGGTTGTCTAGTATTTGTTCAATTATTTTGTTCATCATTTTTTATTTTAGAATTATATTCGAATCTTGAAGTTGAAGCCCTGGTGTTGAGCAGCGCTGTAGAGGCTAGAGGACGCAGGCTGTTCGCTGCTCGTTCTGTGAGCGGAGGAGAAAGAGCGGCCCGCTCAGACTCTACTCAGCACTTTTCACTGCTTGTAATTCTTACACAGCTGAATCAATTACCTCAAGTTTTCAATTAAATGATGTATTATGATACAACTTGTATGTAGTAAAAAGCATTTTTATGAACTACTTAGAAAAAAAATCGGGTATAGCTTCTTTAAGATCCATCCGCGCTAACGTGAGATGATGTTTTTTCTCACTGTTATTAACAAAATGAAAAAAAAGTATTGTGATGCTTTCCAGCATTTCTACTAAAATGTGCAGGTTAAGACATTGTTGCTTGTTCACTTTGCATGTTACTATATTCATTTGTCTTGAAATAAAGTATTTTTTTCACTTAATCTTTTAGGTATATTTCTGACCAATATAACAATTATTGCCGGATTGTCATATCGTGAGATAACTGTTATATTCAGGGGTGCACATAAGTGGTACGCAGGTACGCATGCGTGACAAATATCAGAAATGCGTACTATCACTTGAGTTAGAAAGCACTTTTGTGTACTTCACATGGACCAGTCCTTCTCAAATAGTGGGGCGCGGTGCAATAACATCCTCCGTTCTGACCCCGGGAGAAACTGTGGCCGCTCTGACAGCACAGCGAACGCGTTACGTGTACATTGCACGTGCGGGTCTTGCCTGTCTCCATCTCTCCCCCATGCCTCTCCGCAGTCTCTTCCCCGTCTCTCCCAAGTCTCCACACGAGGCACAGCCAAAACTCACTGAATTAAAGCTCAGCTACCTAAATTTTCGCTTGCATTGAAAATGCATGTTATTTGTGCACAGAAGTAAAATGTTGTGACCAAATCAAACAGAACAAACCAAAACAGTCCTGTTTATTTTATTTTACTTACTTAAGAAAGAGCCCTGTGAGTCATTATTTGACTTTTTGGCAGTGAGTGGATTTTTTTCAACAATTTTTTTGTTAGTGCCATTTAATTGCCAAACTCTTTTTGACTTATTGTATTGAGAAAGATGTGTTAGTCCCACATTATTATTGGTTGTTTTATTACCTTTCCTGTGTGGAAGTTGTGTATTTCTTTTCTACTGAAGGATTATAATACACTGCATTTTTATTGACAAGTGTCAGCTCCAAAATTGTTGATAATCTGCTACAGAGGCTGAGATATCAATCATTCTGTAGACGTTGATTTTCAGCACTAAAAAGAAGCAAGTATAAAATCTCTATTAAGAACCACGCGACAAATGAGTACCAAACACCATGTCCTGGTACTCATCTGAGTACCTCACTGAAAAAGTTATGTGCACCCCTGGTTATATTGTGAGGTACACTGAGGTTCACACAACTAGTCGATA